CCCCCCCCCCCATTACAGACCCCCCCCCATTACAGACAGCCCCCATTACAGACAGGGCACCATTACAGACGTCAACAACCGCGCACAAAAGGCTTCAGATTCTATACAGTATTCTAATGCATTCATAATTATTTGAAAAAATAGTATGTTTTAGTTTACAAATAATGCAGTAGAATAACAAATTGAAACGATATACGTGAGTTCCACATTTCAGCTCCAAAGGAGCTGCGCTGACAAGCTTTTTCTTCGAAAACATACGTGAGTTCCACAAAAATGAATTGACTTTTTTTTATAATAAAAGTAACGGAGGAGAACCTATAAATAAATAAATTAATGTTGACAATAGTTTTCATCTATCCAATGAAACCATATTAATACAACACTTTTTCAAATAAAGTTCCTTAATATAGTTTCTTTTTTCTCTCAAAAGCCACAAGACTTATATAAACGCACATTGAAAGCAAAGATATATAAGTAGATCGATACAATAATAACTCTTATACATATATATATATAGTTAATCAAGTTCAAAATTTGAACCTAAAGATATTGCATTTTCAGGTTGAATTCGATTGTTATGGAAACAGCACCAACTTTTCCATCGTTGCCAACATTTTTTCACTAAAACATATTTTATTTGACGACGAAATCTTGAGGATGATATTGCGAATATATAACAACTCGTCTAAAATAAATCAATATGTTTAACATGAATTAAAACAGAAAGAAAATTTTACTGCAATGTTCAAGCCAGCGATAGAAAAAATAATTGCTTGAATCAATTGTATGATTGCATATTGCAAAAGATCTGTTTTTTTTATAGTAACATTAACAATATAGATACGAAAACTGATATAAGGCAATGTAAAAGCAACAAAAAATCCCATACGAAGTAATACCATTGCTGTAATCTGAAGATCAAGTCGACGACGTTCAATTGGTACTTGACGACGAATTATATGACGAACATTACGAAAAGCAAATAAACTAAATATAGAAACAGTAATAATGGGAAGAAAACCGGTCAAAATTGGATAAAAGAAATATGTAAAATATCGAATTAAAATTGGATTTGTCGTAACACATCCTACTAATGGTACAATATTGACAAAGAACGAACATGTAATACCATGAACAAAGCAAATAAAAATACTTATAAATGCAAGCCATTGAGCTAATTTCAGTGTACAAATTGATCTTAAATTTAATCGATAATCTGTTGAAAAAAATTGATCAAAAGAAATCAAACATATCATAGAAAATGTAATAAGCCCTAATGTTTGAGCTAATACATATACTAATCTACACCAAACAAGTGAACTTGTTACTAATGTAGTTCCATATATTGTTACAAAAATATTTAAAATTCCAGAACAAAATAAAGATATAAAATTCGACATTGATTCGATCGTTAAATAAAAAGCACATCGATTGTTTCGAAAGAACTTGAAATGAGTAAAAATAAGAATATTGATAGCATTACCAATAATCCCAATAGTAAATGTGACATAGCCAGTATATATTATATATTGTGAAGAAATTTGAAGAATTCGTAGGGCCGTGAATGTTGATGCCATGTAGATCGTTTTTAATCAAATGAATATAGTATATTTCTTTTTATTCTATTGAATAGTCATCATCCGTTTTTTCATCTCATTTGCTGAAGTTTAACAAAATTGACATTAAAATATCTAGTAAAGCGTCAAATATAGAAACCTAAATATGTCTCACTATTAATATGAAAAAGAAAACCAATCGATGCTAACTCGTATCATGGCTTCGTTCTAGAAAAAGTGCATGCCATTTTTTGTCAGGATTTTCACGTATAATATTGTTCCTTTTTATATCTTCTTTGTAGCTCACTTTGAGATTTTCTAACTAATCTTTTTTTTTTATTTGCTGGTTGAATAATCTTTTTGTTTGTATTTGATTATATGTATTTTAAATCTATATTGGAAATCAGAAAATTTGGTATCCGTGCTTCCGCGTAGATCTATCCATTTTTTTTACAAAATTTTCCTTCCGATAAGATTCAAGCGTGCTGGTCGTGTAGTGTTCATTAAGTTATGTAGGAATTCCTATTTTGTTTTAATTTAAATCAAGCGCTAACTGTAGCAGAACAAGCTTCAAAGTTGATGTCCTTCGAAAAATTTTCCCTTCCGTCGGAAATCGTTCAGTGGTATTTTTCGTGACTATTATTTGGTAATTTTGGTTGACCCGTTGCATAGTAAGTAAAATGTGTCTCCATAAAATTCTTCTAAAAACTATACCTCTAAAAGTCATTTCTTTAGAGCATTGGAAAGGTTAGACTTTTCTGCTTACAAGACATTTCTCATAAAGCTTTTACATTCAATTATAGACTCTAATATATTATAATAAAAATGAGGTTAATACTATGCTTGTTGCAATGCTTCAAGTTAGACTTATGCTGGGACGTGCGTAGCCTAGATCTTTGGATCTCAAGCATTCGATGTATTCGAAAAACGTCATAGTCTGTTTTGATTTCCTCAAAAACAAAACATTAGAGTTTGTTGAAACTTTTTTTCTGAATATACCTAATTAGACATTATTAGTGAGTAGTATATTAGACGTACCACTTCAGAAGTATGGGAAGGATCAGACACCTTCAAGTTTGTTTTAAAATCATGGATCAATATAGAAATATGATATCTCTTGTTGATAATTAAGTTCAAAAATATTGAAGAAATCGAAAAGAAACCAATGAAAAAGGCACATGAGTTTTCCTAGGTTTTTTGGTATCTTAATTTTTTTTCCTCTAATCGTTCTAAAATAATTTATACAAATACTGATCGCATTCTTTCGCAGATAGCGGAGAGTAATGATGGAATAATTTTCTAAAATCCACTTAGTGCAAATCGGAAAAGGCTCTAGCGAATCATCGATACTATACCACCGATATACCGGTAGTCAACCGTCGATATTTTGACATACGAACGGTCAGTTATCACATCACAGAAATATCTAATGAAAGCCCTGCTATTCAGTTAGAAAGGTCTAAATTCTTTTTTTGTATTAACAATTAGATTCATTCTGTTCATTGTATGCTATCTCAATGCTGAAAACGTAATTGACGTTCTAGTCTTCTTTTGTGCAATTACGAATAGCCTAGTATATTTATCACTTTTAACACAATGAAGAAATGATTTGATGGAAATAAAAAAAGTTTTCTATCGAATAAGGTCTATGACAACTTCCTTTAATTATCCCTTACTTACGGGATAAAAAAAAACAATTCATGCCGGACATATTCAAATCAATTGTCTTTACATGAGAAATTCATACTCAAATTTGTCTATGATTTGTATAATATGAAGAGCAAGCAATATATTAGTTTGAAATTTAGAACAACAATAAGAAAAAAAATTTCTAGCAGGCAATTATTTATAATTAATTATCTGTGTAAGTAGATGATTGCCGATAAAACAGGGTTTTCTCTGTTTGTTGTGAATTTTTTTTGGCTATGCGAAATTTTTTATGGCAGCTAATAAATATAATTAGAAAAACTAATTGTAGACCGGCAAGAATAAAGAAATAAGTATAAAAACTCCAATTCATTTGTTTTTCAGGTCGACACTAAAACAATCAATCGTTAAAAATAACGTATGAGAATAAAAAACATTTGTTCGATTTTCATACTCACACTAAAATCCATAATAAATGAAGTTGTTGGAAAAGCAGTGATATATGCTGTACCAATAAATGATGATATACCTAATGAACAGAAACGAAGACTCATAAAAAGTGATTGTGCTGAACGTGGAGCAGCAAAATAGGCAAATTCATAGGTAGCAACCGTAGCAAATAATTCAGAAAAACCCAGAAATATATATTGTAATAATTGAAAATATATCGATAAAGTAGATTCGTTGGTATCTAAAAAAGTTAAGTAAATTAGCAATAAATTATCCTTCTCATGTCATACTATACTCGGATCACATTGATCTCGTCGAAATTTTTCGACTGTACCAGCAATCAACATAGTTATTATTGCAAAACACATTCCGATAACAAGTTTAGTTCTTATTGTTAATGATTGGTTTTGAACATCCAAATACTTATAGATAAATATATTGAGTATTATAATACCGACTAGTTTACATAATAAATCTTTATATTAAAGCATGCCTTTTTAACTAATGAACTTACTAACAATTGTTACTGGATCACCAAGTGACATCAAAGTAATGATATTTTTTACATTTCGTGTCCTTTGCATATGTTGACCTTGTAAAGGAAAAGTTGAATCCATCTAAAGACAGCAAAGAAAATTTATAAGAAATATTATATTATAACTGATCTTGCTTGATGATAAATAAGCCAATATGGAATAAGAAGACTAAATACAATAAGGGCACGACCAAGAGATTTAACATCGTTTACAATTCTATCATGAAATTTTCCATTGTTAGGTATTTTTGCATAATCAAGAAATGCTTCTGATTGTTCATTTAATCCCATCGAATCTTCTCCTTCAGTAAGACTAAGAGGATCACTAATTGAATTCGTTACCGAAGCATCGGTACTGTATTTACTGATTGAGCGTTTATTCTGCTTATATTGCAGCCAGGATTGAAATGCATTTATAACAACTGGAATGCAGTTACTAACCACTGTATCGTAAGGTTTTACATTTATATAACATCGCCAACCAATACTAAACAAAACAGCAGCAATAAGAAGGATAATTAGTGCAACTAAGTATCCAATAAAATAATGATTTGCATCTTTTTGTATAAAATTAATGCCTAATGTTGCAATAATGCCACCTATGTTTACTACAACGATGTACTTGTCGAAATATCGTGATGGCTTGTCTGACTGTTGGACTTGATCAGCTCCAAATACAGCCATATTAGATTGTACAGCTCCAGCACCAATAGCACTTTATAGATAGAAAAAAATATATCATGAGAAAATTATAAATACATAAACATACATGATAATAAGTGTTACTAGGATCCAACTAGCACAAGGTTCTTGAATTATTGTGATCGTATTCGGAGTATCACTCTCATTAAATGTATTACGTGCACAAATATTTATATTTGTTTTCGTAATTAACACAGCTAATATATAGCCAATTACATATAGAACAAAACCTATACAGAAGAATTCAGTCTGAATAGTAAGAGCTTCAAATAATTTTTTGTCTTAATTTACCAACAAGTATTGTTATAGCTCGACCTAATTTGGCATCACCGATTACAGCAAATATCAGTGTTGAAATATAGCTTGTACCTATTTTGATAAACAATAACATGAGAAAGATGGGTGTAGGTGTTTGGGACTCAAGATGTTTGTGAATGTTCTTCTCATACTTAAACCTATATCCACACACTAAATATCGGATGTCTGATTCTCTAGTTAAAGTGAATTTAGATGATAGGAGTTTTCTAACGGGCAGAAATTTAAAAAATTTGACCCGCACAGTTGTAAATTAGTACTCATTTGAAACTTGCTGCTTCATGTTAATAACTGCTTAACTGAGATGTTCGCCTTCGGTAGGAAATTCAACAAAAAATTAATATAATAAATTTGACCCCAAAGTTCGCTCCATAATAAGTTCTTATGGTCTTTAGAATATCATAAAAATCTAAACCAAAATAGATACTTCCTTCTGAAGATGTTGGCCATTAAAGAAAAACTGATTTAATGACTTTTTTTTTGTGAAATAGGATTGTTTTTTGAACAGCTAATCATTAGAGAAAGAAATATTCATGTTGCATACAACCTTAAACATATATTCTAATCTGACTATAGTTTCTAATTATACGAAACATATTGGTGTACTCGACATTTGACAGTTGAAGACACTCTCATATTAAATTGAATATTAAAAAATTTTGTTTACCAGAAAAAATAAATGAAGCGATAGAACTGTTTCGTGGTTGCCAATGAAACAATTCATCCGAATCCAAATTAAGGACAAGAGTAACCATTATTGAATAAAATGCGACACGTTCCAAAAGAGTGCATGCAAGAATGAGATAAATTGCTAGGGTTTTTTTTAAAGGTCCTCGTTCATCAGTTACTGGTGGAGGAATACCATGTCTGGGTACTAGCGGCGTTGATTCATCTGCGTCTAATGTATTCATCTGTTAAAGTTCTAAAATCAATCTTACGTAATGAGTATCTATATAGAAAAAACAGGATCGGTCATGGATAGCAATAGATAGCATATGTAAAAAAAAGATACGAAAGCAAAAATATTAAATAGACTTTTATCTATTAAGCGACAAACATTTGATAAGCAGTAGAGAGTAAGCGTGGGTTTTTTTGTTAAAAAGATATCAGAGGACTTGGGTTTTGTCCAAAAAAATTATATCAATAGGCCTATATGGAATGAAAAGGTGAAATTTATATTATTAAAAAACGTTTTAAAATTCCAAGTACGATGAAAATATATTTATCGCAAAAGTTTCTGACGTATTGTTATCTCTGGGTTGTGTCATATTTTTGCAAGTGTTGGAAAGTAATAAATCCTGTTATTGTTATCTTTTAGTGTTTTTGCGCATGCTTTTCTATATTGTTATTTTCGTCTTCTCTCTACATCAGATGTATTAATCCTAAACGCGCTTGGATTTTACCACATCCTAAATATTATTCATCAATACAAATATAGTTCGAGATTCATTATAATAACAGATACATATGTGTATCAGACACAATCATCATTGGCTAATATTCGTTAAAAAGAAAATTCTTTTAGCTGTAGAATAACTTCACATAAGCAGATATCATGCGTTCTTTATACATCGTAGCTTAATAAAGAGAGAAGATGTTTAATTTTACTTTGGTAGAAATGTTAAGTAGCTACATAGACAGATATATAGTATCAATATTAGCATGCTTACCGAGGTCTTTTTTATTCAAGTTAAACAGTACATAGATGACTATTTGAATGAAAATAATCGAAAGTAATATTTAAAGTTAATCTTTCGCTGAAAGGCTCACATGCAAATCATGCGACCATCCATAAACACTGAAAGAAAGTATGAACATTAATACAAATAGCCATGACTAATCATGGTCATTTAACAAAACTCAAATTTATATTCGAACAAATTACGTCCTACGGGACTTTATGCGGATATGTACATTTAGCCGAATACGTGCTCATCCATGAAGGTGTGGGGTAGGTGTGACTGTGGATGTGGGTGGTGTAGGCGTGGGTGAGTGTGGATGTGAATGCAGTTGTAGCTATTCTATTCAAACTATATCCACACCCATACCCTCTATATTAATGATATCAGCCATCATATGGCTATAGACAATACATTCGTAATCTTGCATCTGCTCTAATTCAGATCAGCATGTGTGCACATAGAGAATGATTACCCAAAATAGGACAGAGATCCATAATGAAAAGAAGAAAAAACATAAATCGTATAAAACCAAATGTGTTCTAAACTCCAAATAAATAGTCATAAGGGAATCTTGATTTTTCTTCTTTTTTCTTTCTTATCAAATATAGTTTTTCAATGTGAAATAAACGAAGTATTATACAGAATCAATCATTATTTTTGTGTTTTACTACATTCGATGAATGTAGTGGATGCAAATTCATGAAAATTACATCAGAGTATGAGCACTAAGGAATAAGTTCTCTGTGCTAATCTACTATTTCATATTTTCTCGAAAAGTTTTCTTGTATGATAACATTTGAGTTCGTTTGCAAAGTAATATCACATAGTGGTGATATTTTATTTTGTCTTTCAGCTTCATTATACACATAATAGTTGAATGAGTTTTTTTCGGTACGCGTGCTGGTAAATAAAGTAGCTTAATTATGCACAGAAAACATGACAAAAAAAAATATGATGTTTGGAATAAGTGAAAGATCTTTTTTTATTTCTTTTGTAAACTGAACTGTTAAAAAAACTTGCCGAGGATTTCGAAAGACATAATTTTTGCAATGCTTTATATATTGTGCAGTATTATCAGTGTTTTTAATCAAGTAGTTCTTTTTATATTAATCCCTTCTGTGTTTTTTTTTCTTTTTCAAACAATAAAAGTTACATTTTTAGAAACGACATAAAAAACTGAGTAAGAACGATAAATTCTAATCTGAAGTTATAGTTGCATCCCTATCAAAAAATTTTATAAATATATTTTTCAACAAGAACCTTTTCCTTCTTCCTATTGTTTTGTGTTGAACAACCTAGTTTTTTCTTTTTGTTGATGTGTCTAGTTTGTGATGACTCATATATTATGTACACAAAAGACATAAAACAAAAACAACATCTTGTTAAGTTGATAGTGAACATGATGTTTTGTCTGTTGTAATAAGAAAAATATCAATAAAAATTAGTTCTCGAAAAAAGATATTAAATTCATAACAAATAACATAAAAAATTATTTATTAGATATACCTATTTCAAAAAACAATTTTTGAAAAAAGTTGAATTGATGTGTCAAAACATTTCTTGAATCTATTGTCGATTCGTTTTCGTTTTTTTGATAATTCAAATTAAAATCTACCTTTTTTTTCAATACGATTACAAAAACGAGAATTCTTTTTGAAATAAATTTCTAAATGAGTCTTTTTTTATATTATTGATATCCATCATTCCCACATCAAACAAGTATCGTCGTAAACGACCGTATACGGAGAAATACGACGATTTACATGGTCACGTATTACGATCGTATATCTCCGTGCCGTATACTGAGAAATACGGTGATATACGGAGAAAAAATACGATCGTAAACAGAGATCACATACGGACTCTGTATGAGTGTTGGTGTAAAGATCTCTTTACCCACATCCACAGCCCGATATTATTGGAGATCAATTAAATACCAAATAAGTGTCGATTAATTAATGATGTCTAAATCAAAATATATTCTTATAGTGATTTTTTCATTTTAAAACTACACTGAGTAATTTTAGGAATAAACATAAAAGAAATCATTTAGAAAAATCAAACATTTTGTTTTGTTAATACTACACATGAGTGCAGATACAGGTGGGCAGGGATGGAAAGAATCGAAGAAAACCTTAAGTTAAACTTTCACTCACTATATATTGTTTGAATATATATTCGAATTTCAAAAAATTGAACAGGAAATAGCAAAACACTGTATAATGACTGTAAAAGTAAGTGCCATTGTCAAGAACTATTATTTTAGACTTTCTGACATACAGAAATAATTGCATCTGGTACTTGACATGTATCAACAAGGTTTTATTAAGAATATTTCAAATGAATTTAACAAGGTAAACTATGTGAATGAGAGCATTAAAAAAAAATAGTTGGTCATATTTTTTTCTTTCTTTAATTAAAGAACAGAAAAAAAAATGTGAATAGTGTGAAGATAGAACATAGAAGAGAAAAGAAATGTAATTACACAACGTGCAATGTGAAACAGCATAAGGTAAAGATGCAAAACGTATAGAAATCGGTCGAGCCGCGCTTCTAGGCTATAACCTTGTACTCCTTCCTCATGAGCCATAAGCATTAGGATGTGAAACTTCGGTTTCACAAGTCTGGAAGTAAATCGATACTCGATCTTTTTTTTTCTAAATACCAAAACAAACGCATTTAGTGTGAGTTAAATACTAATGTTAACTTTTTCTCTATGTCCTTCTGCACCATGAATGGATTTTTTTATTGTCAGTCAAGCACTGACAATGTGATGGAAAAATTACGGATGTTCATATGTAATGATTCTTGTGTTCGAGTATGTATCACATCAAAATGCGTCTTGATGTCTTTTCAAATAAGAATGCTCTCGAACCTATTTCGGACGAAAAAAAAGCATCTCAATACATCTAGGAAATTATTTTAATTGTATCGAAACGTGTCATAGCTGCAAGACTGATATAGATGAGATTCTACTTTTAAGAAAAGCATCGATCGATTAACTTTGACAAAATTGTCTGTCCAAAATATTAATTCGGCAGTAAATACTGTTTAAATTGTAATTTCAACACGATATATAAACAAACCTATTATACAAAATTTCATGTTTTAGAGCATTGTGTTAGCTTTTGATTCTATATAAATTAGTTATTTTTCTTATGAACTTTGAGATGCTGAACAAGAAAAAAAATTACGCATGATGCATCTTGTACGCTATGAATTGATGTGTATATTTTTCATCAATTTCTACTTGCACTCCATACAGTCTTTTTTCTCTTTCCAATATGACTTTTATAGATCACTTTTGAAATTCTTATTTTCTTGTTCAAACTTATTTCATAGCAATGCTCTGAACGTGAACGCTTCGTTTAATTTTTCATCATAAAAAACCTGTATAACACATATTGTCAATCAACATATGATTGATACAAAACACATAACGACCCGTAATTATATTGTCTTATTAATTGGAATCTTCGCTCACTGCTCACTTGGAGTGTTTTCAGGTTCCAGTGAAATTGTGTTCATGTTTTTTTTAATTGTAACATTGGATAGTACTTTCTCCCATCAGCTATACTACAAAAATACCTAGTACAGTATGCGCAAAACATTAATCAATTACGTCTACAATGTCAAAAAAAGTCTTGCTTCAGGAATGATAAATTTCTTCTAATTCTACTTTGACTCTACTGCATTTTTTATGAGAAAAGAGATCTTGTCAAAATGTGCTTATCGACACAAAAAGTCCAGGAAAATATAACGTATGTGAAAACGTATCATTCCTGAAGTAGCTCTTTTTTTTTAATAAAGCGATCGTTGTTGAAAGGAAAATTTTCTAAAAGTATACACGCATTCTGCATAAACAATTCACGATCTGAAACACTTCTGAAAATAAGAAATAAGAACGAAGTAAGAAAGATCAAATAGTATTCAACGTAATTGCTGTTTTGCTGCATTTTTCTTGGAGTCTAGTCTTTCTTACAACTATTAAACCTTCATTACGTAATAATTTTGTTTCTATTCTATTAGGTTGAAACTCGTGCGAAGCTTAGATAATCAAAAAATATTAATACACCAGATAGTCTCGTAAGATTCAACTATCATAAATATGGAAATATTTTCTATTGCTAACATTATCGTCTATTTTTAATGTTATATTGAAATAATACGAGTAGCAAATAATTTCACTATTCAGTGATCTATTTAAATTAAGACTATATTTTCAAAACTGTTTAATTTAATGATCGTCTTATACTTTTCATATGCACTGGTTAATGAGTGTGAACAACTATTTAAAAAGTTTGAAGAAATGCACTAGTTTTTTTCTTTCAGATAAATGGTGTATATGGTTAAGAGAGAACGATTTGATTGTAACAAGAAATAAACAATGATACGTTATAAAAGAAAACTCTTGAATCCACTCACATTTAGTCTTAAAATAATAAATTTTCACGTTTCAGCGTATAATCGGTTCAATATTAATTAGTTCTTGTAAATATGACGTTTTTTTTTTGTAGTAACATTCAAGTTTCGATAGAGCACTATAGGTATCCTATGAATATTGGGCAAGGTATAGGAACTGTGCATAATTTCCGGTATTTTAGTAGCAGACTTAAAAAAATTGTGTGTTTCAAATGATTTACAAAAGAGATGAGACCCATTGAAAAATAGTTAGCAACTAAATGCTTACGTTTTTTTTAAAATTCTCCGCAAATATACGTATTATTTTATCTTTTCCATTTGACTGAATAGTCCGAAACATTTCGCATAAAATTTTCATGAATAATGAATTCAATAAAAAGCAAGAATTCGATATTATCATAAAACATACCTTATTAATGAGAAGAAGTTTACTTTCTTCAAATTTTTCGTATAAGATAATGAGAAAAACAAATACTCAAATGGCCTAATATCGGTCGATAGTAAGTAAAAAATACATTACATATACGTTTGTTTTTAATAAATATCATGAATGAGCAATTTAATGAAAGATGATTTCTTAAAAACTCATCTACTAATCTAATGTTATCGTGACAACCACATTCAATATATTGACATACTTTTTTATTTTTAGCAGATTTTTAATGTATGCTATCTGATGGCTTAAGCCTAATGTGTATATTCAACTGCATTACCCAACACATGTGATAATTAGTAATATGATGATAAAAAGTATACAATTGATACAACTAAGCAAGTATCTGAAAGAAACAGAAATAGATTTTTAACGACAAACTGAAAGAGTAACTAACCGCCATTCTCTCTAATGATGTTTATTAAATTTCTTGATATACAACACTGGTTTTTTTTTTTGAAGAAAGAAGAGTCGAAAACATATGAGCAGATGAATAGATAAAGAGCGAAAGTAAGAATGAACACAGAAGAGGCGAGAAAAAAGAGAAACAGTTGTTAATATCACATGAATATGGCTAGACGTGATTGAATCATTAAAAAGGAGCAATTATATCAAACTAAAATAAGGACTTGTGCGAGAATGAACATGATAGGCGTAGTAAGACGAGAGTTTTATGATTTTTAAGGCTAATATTAAGTCATGTATCAGTTCATATTTATTGCAATTATAGAGAAAGAACAAACATAAGATTATACTGATTGACTGACATATACGTATGGTCTCGTCTTATACATATATATCTGATTCTCTCTTATCACACGTTAATATAAACATTTTTTATTTCTTCTGCTATTCTGTATGATAGAAGAGAATGTTGAAAGAGAGATGAAAGAAGCAGAATACGATGAATAAATAAAATACAATTGCAAGATAGCTGAATATTATATAAGAAGACACACACGAGCTTGTGACGATATTCTCTTTTGCTTCATACGAAATAACACAATAGATTACAATACAAACGTATCAACAATGTTATTTAATACATATTTCTTTTGTCTTTTTCTTTTAATTATAAGTTCAATATCGAGCGATGGACTTTGCAAATGGTATGGTATAGCACCATTTTGTTTTCTTGGTAATTCATGTCCTGATGGATGTTTTAAAACAGCAGAAAGTAATAAAGGTGATGGTATGACATGTTGGTTTTCACAAAAAAATTATTGTTGTTGTCCAAAACGAGCATTAGATTCATTACTCAATAGCATTTTATCTGACGACAAAAAGTAAAACATTAAACTAAAGTAAAAATATTATGTAGCAGTTGATTATAATATTTTGTAATGTTCATATTCTATATTGTATACAAATTCATATGTAAAATACCTTTAGAATGTTTCTCGCAGTTTTTGTTATTAATATCTTTTAAAATAAAACATCTATACTTTTAAAAAATATCGAAAATATGGAAATATTGAAGATGAATATGTTATTTTTATTAACGAGATCAATTCTATATATATTCAATGAAGATGGATCATATCTTGTAACACATTATGAAAATGTCCTTGAACCATGTGACAGGGCGTGATTTAATTGACTTGAGTTAGCTTGCTTACCGCTTATTTGTTGGTATTCAATTCACACTTGTACTTCTTTGTTGAGTGTTTAGTAAATCTTTTTTATTGACATATTGATGAGCTTATTCGATATACATCGTAATAATATGTTTGATTCGTTTTAAAGTATTTTTTTATTACTTTTTGATATTTATTTATCTTCTGGCAAGATGCTAAATAACGCAAATAAAAAAATTTGCAGTTGAATAGAGTAGTTAATGCTCTATCCGATCATACAAAAAATAAAAGATGTCTTCAGTTTTGCAAGAATACAATCAATTAAAAGCTATCAAAAATACCTGAATGAAATTGTTTATTTACATTCATGCAACTATTGCTTATACTAAATAGCGTGTTATATTATAAAACATAATTTCATTTCATTTTTTTGTCTTCATCCAAGATTGATGACCGTATTGTTGTAACCATTTTAGTTCTTCTCGAACCTTAATTTTTCCATACCAAGGTCCATTACTATTAATCACTGAATGTCCTTCATTTTGAAAAATGAGTAATTGAACTGGTACGCCTAGGCTATGTAGTCCACGTTCTAACATGTAACTTTGAGCGGGTGGAACTCGAACATCATTTGAACCAGTAACAAGATGTGTCGGTGTGCGAACTCGATCTAAGTAATACATGGGCCCGGAATTCTGATAAACATGTGGTATTTCCCATGGAAAACCACCCATTAAGTAGTTCATATGTATCGGCCAATCCATTGTACCCCAACAAGAAACATGTTCGGCTGCACCAGCACCAGATATAGCAGCATTGAAACGTGTTGTTTGCGTAATAAGCCAATTTGTTAAAATACCACCATAGCTATAACCTCCAATTGCAAGTCTATTTGGATCAGCACTACCATCTTTAATCAAACGATCAACACCAGAAAGAATATCAATTCCAGGTCGAATTATAGGTTGATAACGAACTTCACTGAGAAACTGATCACCATAGCCAGTTGATCCTCGATAATTCGGTTCTAGGACTAGCCAACCATTCAAGGCTGCTAATGGAGCCCAAAAGTAGCCAGTACTTTGTAAATGATTGAGACTTGCGTCGTATGGGCCACCATGAATAAGAACAAAAAGAGGCAAGTTTTTTGCTTCAAATTGTCCTGGTGGATAATGTAAAATTCCTTCAATTGTTCGATTATCTTCATCACTTTCCCAATAGAAATTTTTCGATTCCGGTAAACTACGTTGAGTCCAAAGACCATTTTCATTTGTAATTGCTTTCGCCGATGTAAGTTGATCAATATTATCAATACAATAAACTTCCTTTGGTGTTCGAAGTGATGAATAAATAAATGCAATCGAACAGTATTGATTGGATGATTTAGATACGACAATAAATTCGTATGCACCACTCCAACCAAGATATTTAATCGAATTATTCCTAGATGACTGTTGCGAATAGATTTGAACATCTATACCCCATTGACCAAGAATATAAACACTACCATCAATTTTCGTTGCATATCCAACAATATTACCATCAAAATCATTTCCTAAGCGCTCAATTTGTCCATTTGTTATATCGACAGAATATAATCGTAGTTGAGTATCATTAAATTTTCCATTACTTGAACTTAACGTAAACATTTGAAATAAAATATGTTTACCATTACTTGATAATTGTAAATCTCGTTCAATTGCTTCATTGTATGTCAATTGTACTAGTGATGATACATTTTGTAGATCAATTGAATAAATTTCAGAATTGTCGAGCTTTTCTAGTATTTCTACCACCGATGTCAATATAAGTTTTTGCTCAGATGGAACAAATACTAGTTCACCAATAAGAAAAGAAACATTTCGAATGATTTGAACTTTTGCTGGTGATTGTTGATTTTTCATATCGATATCAATACGATAAATTGTACTGCCTTGTTTAGTTTTAGGCTTTCGATATTGAATCACATCTTTCCATTCAGTTTCATCTAATTCATCTTCATCGGCAGTTGACCATGATGTCAAGGTAGTAAAATAAAGAGCAGAATCATCTTCAGACCATGTTATAGTCAAGGGAATATTTGTTCCAATACTAATCGGTAATAACTTATTTGAATCAATTGAAAACAAATATATCCGTTGTTCAATGTTTAAAAGATGATCTGTATTCTTTGTATTTATGTCTGAATTTTCGTCAAGTAATAATACAATCCAATTTCCACTTGGTGACCATTGTGGTTTGTAGGCTCCAAAAAGTTTTCTTGTAATTAATTTTCGTTGTTGACTTTGAGTTTCATACAGCCATAAACTATTCTCAAAAGAACTTGAATTCCATAGTGGACGTCTAGTATGAATAAGCAAGTATTCACCATTTGGCGAAAAACTCAACGATGGATAATTTGTATAATCAAAAAATTCATCAAATGATAACAATGGTTTTGTTTGCATCGAAGAACATAGTATGAGTTTGAAAATAAACAGTATATAGAATATCATATACATAATTCGTTTTTATCTAAACAGCTAAATGGTACTTTCGTCATATTCAATTAGCCTTTTGAGGATGGAATCTTTTTTCAATCGAAAAATAGTTCTTCAATCAATATGTCGTATTTGGCTTAAAATGATCAGATAAAAACCTGATGATAATGCATCGAGAGAAGAGAGGAAGAGATCATGTATCAGTATATAGTAGCAGAAAGAAAGGAGGACATGTGAGAAGGATCTATATGAGAGGAAGAAAGAGAGAAAAGACCTGCGTGAGATAGCAGATAGGCGACCTATATACCTTAACGATTGTAACAGTTTAATGTAGAGCAAACATTTTCTGTACTGAAAAATAGATGGGACAAATATGTCTCACCGTTCTCAAAGGATTAATTTGCTTTTAGTGCTCATTTTCGAGTATTGACGTAATTATGCAAATCATAACTCTGTATAATTACTTTCATTAATATAAAAACAGTTCCATCTCAACGGAATCTTGACATATGTTAAGTGCAAGTTAAAACTTATCTAAACATTCATAGATGCTACTCCTGCTCCCGTTTCAAATACAGTCTTCCTACTGGCTAATAGTCGCTCTAAAGGTCTTTCTCATTCTATCGAAAACTGACATATAAACTCGGATTTACTAGACGTTTTAATCAGATCAAAAACGAATACACTGTTGATATTTTTTGTCCATGACTTTTTTTCTTTAACCATATAATAATCCAAGGTGAATAAATGTTTTTGTTTTCGTTTTGCCAAAAACGAAAACGTCGACGAAATGAAACATCGTAAAAAGCACAATACTAGCTGGTTTCATTTAGACACAAAAAATTTGTGTTGAAAGAGAGTATCCAAATGGTTATTAAGCACTATCTTTTGAGCTAATGTGTATCTCGCCGAGAAACGAAAATATTTTGGGTTGTTTTCAAATTTATCATTTCAACTCATTTTCACAACCAAAGTAATTGTTTTGTTCTCTGATGGTATAGGAGCCACAGCATTACACAATACTGGTTGTATCGATGAAGGCACATCTTCGTTCATGAATCTTTATGGTTCTTCAACTTGATCAGAAAACGAACAATATACGAGTACACCTTTGAAATAATAGTATGCTAAAGTGTATGACTGGTTGTATTTGCTAGATACGTATATACATTTAGTTTGGATGTCATATTACGCGTTCTTAATATTCATGAATGTGAGTTCATACGAAGCTAAAAGATCATTAGTGCTAAATTCTCTCGAACATGTGGATGGCTCGCTACATTCATACGTAATAGCGAGATGACAGTGTTTCTGAAGCAAAGAATTCTTTCGAGATCAACATAAGTTTTCAATAACTGTTGCTACCTTTGCTACGAATTTATTGCGCCAAGTCAAAACATTTGACATTATGTCACACTGTTTCTCTTGTGACTACCGTTCATAAAATTTCAAGGAAAAACTTATATGACTACTTAATTATTGACCAATCAAATTTTTACTTCATTTTACTATTCTAAGTATGCATTGTCTAATGATGAAAATCATCATTCACTATCTCTCACCGTTGAGAAGCTATTGAGAAAGCATTCAAAGACTATTCTTGTTTTAAATAGACAATAGTAATTATTATCAGTCATACGTAGTTGGAAAATTAAAATATGAAAGGGACATGATTTTGATTGAAATCTGATATTTTTCTAAGAGTTTAAAAATATATTCATGCGATAAGGCATAGAAAAACATTAAACAGAAGAACTGCAGCTAACCAACGTTTTTTAAGCGATTTAAGCGATCTCAAGTATTCCGTAGCTGGAAAAGTCATACGTAAACAAAAACAATAAATTCGGTAAATAATTCCGTTTAGCTAAGTGTTAATGAAAAACGAATAACTAATGCATGAGCTATTTAAAGGGAAGATTATCGTACAACTGTTCTTCATCCAGTCGATAAAATATTTGAGAATCAAATTCGTCGCTCATTTTACATCAAACTCATTTGTGAATGAGCAAAAGTTTGTTAGACAACATAATCTGTTTTCTATTCTATTTTTCTCTTATCGTACATTCTAAAAGCAAATTACAGAAGTTGTATCCTTTTACACTTCAATCTTGTGTCATCATTTTGAACATTTGAACACATGTCCAATTGGCAATCGAAAAACAATATATTGCAAAAGATATGAACATGTACTTTCACATACAGATGCGAGAGACTTCTAAGACCGAAATGACCG